TCCCCATCACCAAGTCCATTGTGTCCTGAAAAGAGGAGAAACATCTAGTGTGATCTTTATCCTTGTAACTGAGACTCCAGAAGCACAGGATAGTAGTCTTCACTTAATGACCGGTCACTTAAGTGTCAGTTCAAAGTTACGATGGATTCCTTCCTTCCCCCAAGTTACTTACCACGCAGTTCTGGAGGTGCTTTTTCACGAGGCAACTGGACTTTCCTGTTTTTTTTTGAAGACGTTTCGCTTCTCATGCAGGAAGCTTCTTGGATATAAATCCTTCCATTCCTCACCTTCCACTCAGAGTTGAAGAAGCTTCTTGGAGGAGAAGCGAAACCTCTCCAGAGAAAAACAAGAAAGTCCAGTTGCCTCGTGAAAAAGCACCTTTGGGACAACCATGACCTGGATGAGGTCAATAGACCTCAATAGACAGACGCAGTTCTGGAGTTCCAATGGAGCCTCCCCCATAGTCACATGACTGAATTTCTGGTATTTGGCAACTATTTCACCTTTACCGCTAGTTACAGCATTCTGTGGTTATGAGACCACAATTTATATTTTTGGCTGGTTTCTGGGCTTTAGGGATGATTTCTGGCAAAAATAAAAATAAAAATCCACAGGAATGTATTTGCTTAACATTTGCTTTATGACTGTCATGTTTGCTTAACAACCGCTGCCCAAAGTGTAAAGTAGGATTGGTCCTCTGGGTACTTTGACCTACAAGTGTCACGAGTTACGATGGAAGACACGACAGGTAGTCCTCGACACACCAGACTTCGTTTAGTGACCATTCAAAATTACAATGGCACTGAAGAATGTTTCCTGCCTGAGCAGGGGGTTGGACTAGATGAACTCCAAGGTCCCTTCCAACTTCTTTATTATTATTATTATTATTATTATTATTATTATTATTATTATTATTATTATTATTATTATTAACCTTTTTTTCACAGTTATGACCGTTGCAGCATCCCCATGGTCACGTAATCAAAATTCAGACGCTTGGCAACCGACTCATATTTATGACAGTTTGCAGTGTCCCGGGGTGACATGATCCCCTTTTTGTGGCCTTCTGACAAGCCAAGTCAGTGGGGGGAAGCCGGATTCACCTAACAACCGTGTTACTAACTTAACAACTTCAGCGACTCAACAACTGTAACAAGAAAGGTCATAAAATGGAGCAAAATTTAGTTAACAACTATCTCGTGCAGCAACATATATTTGGGGCTCAATTGTGGTCGTAAGTCGGGGACCACCTGTGATGGCAGTTAGAAACACCTAAGCTAGGTGTTCACACACACAGTTCCCCCCCAACAGATTGGGGTGACTAACTTATCAACTGCAGCGATTCCCTTTAACGACGGCGGCAAGCAAGGTCGTCAAGTGGGGGCAAGGCTCACTTAAGAAACGCCTCACTTAACAACAGAAATGCTGGCCTCAATTGTGATCGTAAGTCGAGGATTACCGGTGCAGCCCAGACCAGCCCTATCCACCCGTGAAGGCCACTTTGCCTGGGGATCCCTGACTCTGCAGCCCCTCCTCTCTGCATGCCCCCCCTCCCAGGGAGGGGATCCCCACCTATAAAAAGTGGGGAGGGGTCCTGCTTGCAACATGGGTTGGACCCTCCAACCCCCCCCCGCCTTTCATCCATGCAAGGTTTGGCTTCTCAGCCCCCAAGGGCCCGAGAGACCCCAGACATCCAGACCCCCCCTTTTCCGAGTTTCCTTTCCCACCCCCCAGATGCACAATTCCCAGGACCCTCAGGCTCAGGACGATGGGGATTGTAACC